TAAGCACTTGGTAACAACATTTAAGAAAGGATAGTCCATTATAAAATTATTAGTTACCTTAGTTACTAACAAAATTAAACATCTGAACTCAATGATGTTTCAATACAAAACCAGTTCTTGACAAGATCAATTAGTCATACATTTGTCTAATAAAATGGATAATGTTTAATACAGCAAAACAGTGCATTTTAAGATACATATCTGATCAAGTTTCAAAAACTTACAGACAATATGATAAGAGCCCTCAATGTTGGAGGAATTATATTAGCATGGATAAAGGACAGATTAACTAATAGAGATGGAGAGAAAAGATAAGCAGGGGGCATCTTCATAACGATAAGTAATGGAGTGCAACAGGGATCAGTACTGGGCCCACAATTATTACAACACATATTAATGACCAGATGAAGATAGCGGATGTACTTTAGCCAAGTTTGTGCAGCTAACACAGATATAGATGGGAAGGCAAACTGAACAGATATTTTGTGCAAGTGTTCACTAGAGAGGATAAAAGTAGCATCTCATAGATAGCTGTAAATCAGGAACTGAGAGGGAAGGAGGAACTCAAGAAAATTACAATCACTGAGATGTAGTACTGAGTAAATTGTTGGAACTGCAAAAGAAGTAGTCAGTGAAATAGTTGCTGTGTTGGTTTTAAATTTCCAAAGCTCATTAGATTCACAGACGATTCCTTCAGATTGGGAGGGAGGCAGAAAGTAGGAAACTACAGGCCAATTAGCTTAACATCTGTCATAGAAAATGCTAGAAGCTAATAAGGCACCTGGGTAGGTTCAAGATAATCAAGCAGAGCCAACATGGTTTTGTCAAAGGGAAATCATGTTTAACTGATTTATTGGAGATTTTTGGAAAAGTAACTTGTGCTTTTGATAAAGGAGAATCAGTTGATGTATTTTGATTTCCAGAAGGCATTTGATAAGGTGCCACTTTAAAGGTTATTGCAGAAAATAAAAGCTCATGGTGCTGGAGTTAACACATTGGCACGGGTCGAAGATTGACTGGCTAACAGGAAGCACAATTGCTGTGCCACAGGGATCAGTGCTGGAGCCTCAATTCTTCACAATTTATATAAATGATTTGGACGAAGGGATCGACAGAACATTTGCTGATGACACAAAGATAGGTAAGAAAGTGAGTTGTGAAGAGAACATAAGGAGCCTACAAGGGAATAAAGATACGTTAAGCGAATGGGCAAATATCTGGCAAATGGAGCACAATATGAGAATGTGTGGAATTGTCCATTTTGGCAGAAAAAATAAAAAAGGCATATTATCTAAATGGTGAGAGGTTGCAGAGCTCTGAGATACAGAGAGATCTGTGTGTCCTAATGCAAGAATCACAGAAGGTTAGTACGCAAATATAGCAAGTAATCAGAAAAACTAACAGAGCAGGTTTATTACAAAGGGAATTAAATGCAAGAGTAAGGAGGCTACGCTTCAGTTATACAGACCATTGGTGAGACTGGATCTGGTCACCACACTTGTGGAAGGATATTAATGCATTGGAAGCAATTCAGAGAAGGTATACTAGACTAAAAACTGGTCTGAGCTATTACGAGGAAATGCCAGACAGGCTTGGACTGTATCCACTGGATTTTAGAAGTGTCAGAGGTGAGGGACATGACCAGGTAGATGTTGAAAGCATGTTTCCTCTTGTAGAAGAACCTAGAACTCGGAATTGTTGCTTTAAATAAGCATTCCTTATTTTGAAACTGAGATGAGGAATCTTTATTTTTCTCCTAGAGGGTTGAGAGTCTTTGAAATTCCCTTCCTCCGAAGGCAGTGGATGCACAACCTTGAAATATTTTTAAGGCAGACATAGATAGATTCTTGATTACCAAGGAAATGAAAACTTATTGGGAATATGCAGAAACATAGAATTGAGGGTAAAATCAGATCATCCATAATCTTATTAAATGGCAAAGCAGGTGCGATGGGCCAAGTGGCCTACTCTTGTTGCTTGTTTGCATGTTTTGTGAGGGTGACACAGAGTTTGCAGAGGGAGAAACACAGCTTAAGCAAGTGGACAAAAATTTGGCAGATGGAATATAATGTGGGAAAATGTGAGGTTATGCACCTTGGCAGGAAGAATGGAAGAGGTGAATATTATTTAACGGGAAAAACATTGCTGAAAAATCAAAGGGAAGATATACTGACATTGGAGGCAGTCCACAGAAGGTTCACGCAGCTGATCCAAGCACAGATGAACTATCTTATGAGAGATTGAGTAAATTGGCCTGATACTGATTGAAATTTAGAAGAATTAGAGGTGACCTTATTGAAACATTCAAGATTCTTAGGGACTTGACAGGGTAGATGCGGAAAGGTTGTTTCCCTTTAGGAGAGTCGAGGACCACAGGGCAAAATCTCAGAGAAAGATTGCACATTTAACACACAGATGAGGAGGAATTTCTTCTCTCAGAACATAATAAATCTGTGGAATTCTTTACCACAGAGGGCTGTTGATGTTGAGTGGTTGAGATAGACAGATTTTTAATCAGAATAGGAATCAAGGGTTATTGGGAAAAGGAAAGAAAATGGAGTTGAGAATTATCAGATGAGCCATGATCTCACTGAATTTGGATCAGACTCAATGGACTGAATGCCCTACTTCATGGGTCTTATGATCAAACTAATTAGGGATCAGTTCAAATCAAATTACTTACTCCAGCTATGTAACGTTCAGTTTCATAAAAAGCATGAAGCATGCTGCTTTATTCATCTAAAGAAAGAAACAAACACTATTAAAACATAGAACACAGAACATAGAACAGTACAGCACAGTACAGGCCCTTCGGCCCCCGATGTTGCGCCGACCTGTTATCCTACTAAGATCAACTATATGATCCAAGAATGGTCAGAAATCATTTGTATATGAATAGCGCATACTGGTTTGCAACAGTGAGACATTTAACGTTAACATTTTCCTAAAAGGACAGTTTTAAAGTGTCAAGCAGAATTATTTTTAAAAAAACAAAAGAACTGTGGATGCTGTAAATCAGGAACAAAAACAAAGTTGCTGGAAAAGCTCAGCAGATCTGGCAGCATCTGTGAAGGAATAAACAGTTAACGTTTCCGGTCCAGTGACCCTTCCTCAGAACTGGATTTTTGTTTGTTTGGCAGAGTGCCTGAAAAATGCGAATTTCCTATTGTAAAGTAACAAGGCACCTTTGCCCAGAACTTAACAAAGCTTTACCCATATTTTAAATGCACCAAAATTTATGATGATCACAATTTGTTTTTCATCTTGCTTATTTATTTTGTTTAATATTCTAAGGCACTTCAGAGGTTAAGGCGAAAAATACAAGTACAAGTAAGGAACCTAGGAGATGTGATCAAAGCTGGATCTTAGATTTTAAGGACTACTTTAAAGCCAGACAAGAAAAAGAAGATGTGGAAAACAGTTAGGCAGGAAATTTCAAGGCTAGGAGCCCAGCCGGCTGAAGACACAACAATCAATGGTGAGGTGAATTGAGGGAAATGTGCACAAAGCATCAGAGTCAAATTGGCTGACGGTAAAGTAGCAAGGAGGTGTGGGGTTCATACAGACTCTAAATATATACATTTAAATGTATAAATTGGAGGACCATGAACCAGCATAAGTCAACGAGGACAAATGTGATGAACTAGCAGCATTTTGCATGAAATAGGATAGTAGCAGGATGTTGGATGGACTGATCTGGCGTGTGTGTGTGTGTGTGAGAGAGAGAGAGAGAGAGAGAGAGAGAGACAGACAGTGTGAGAGACAGAGAGGGGTGGAAATATGGGAGAAGGAATGAGGACAGCATGGGCAACAATGAAAAACTGAGACGAGAGGTGAAGAAGGCATTGATAAATTGTTCATGTTCACAGATGGAGGTAAGGATGGAGGCCAGCAATTTAAAGAAATGGGCAGTCTTTATGGTGGATAGTACCTGTATATCAGATTGAAAACTTAGTTCTAACTTCAAAGCAGTGCACATTGTGGATTCACCTCAGACAGTTTCATCAAGATGGGGAAATGGAACTGGTGGCAAAGGTCTAGATTGTGAAGTTTTATCATCCCAGTGCTTCAAAGAAAGAGTTTGCAGTTCACCTAAACCAAGATGTCAGACAAGCAGTTTCATAACACAGAGGCAGTGGAGGAGTTCGGAGAAGCGGTGAGGTAACAAATTACTAAAAACGTTAACCAAACACTGTAGGCAGCTTTAACGGGCAGAAAGGATGCTCCCCTTTTATCCTTGTCAAAAGTCTCACTCTCCACAGAATTACAGTTCTTAAAATAAAATTTCCACAATTGCTCAAGCTTCTAATGAGTCCACATTTTGCCACTTCATCAAGTAGTAACTTCAAGTCACTGTCACCAGACACTTGCCTCAGTTTTGAGATTTCCCAAATCCATTACCAGCAATAAAGCTGTGATTCTTCTTCCCTAGGACCATGCCAGGTCAAATCATTCAGATTCCTTAAAAGAATGCAGAATACACCTCCCTGGCTTGAGACCATCCATCTCCCTTCCACATTTGGCTTCAGTAGCTCCTGAAGAACCTATGGTCTCTTCTCTCTGCTGACTATACCATCTGTTCTCTTATTCCCTCTCCTTTTCCTTCAGCCCCAAAAGCATAGAGCCAATAAGCCTGTTTATTGTTAGCACAGCTGCCCTCACCTCTTATTCCCAGGTAAGAACACTTCACCGTGCTCAGCCAGCCCCATGACTAAACTAGGCTTGCTGTCAGGCTGATTTTGGAATAGTCACATGACTACTTTCACTTTAATCTAGGTTTTAAGGCATATTCTAAAATATAAATCTTATAACCCTCATAATCATTACACAGGACATTAGTTAACAGTCTACAGGTACTGTTTGGGACGAGAAGCCATTTCCAGAAATTTTCTGGCTATTTCAGATAGATGACTGAAATGGAACAAGCACAGTGTTATACAAATTAGCAGGAAAACAAGATGAAATGGTTATTGGCTACAAAGAGGATAAGAGATCACAGTGGCTGTAACTTATGATTTTGGTTGATGCTAAAACAATTTCCTCCTTAATTTGAGGGGAAAATCAAATGCCATTTTTTTCTTAATGTAAGGCCTTAAGATATGTGTATGTCCCTAAAATCATGAGACTAAAATTTTAATTATAATTTTGAAATAACAAAATCTTGCATTGTATCTCGTGATCGCATAAGCCAATGATAGTACATACTGCAAATATTGTAACTTTGCATCAACTATATCATATTTCTGACTCTAAAAATTAGAGAAAAGCTGGTATATCTGCTGAAGACGGGGTGGGAAGAGGGAGAAGGAGTAGACAATAGGTGGAGATGGGGCCCAGAGAGAGAGAACAGTTAGACAGACAAAGGAATGGGTAAAGGTTAGTTTGGGAGAATCAACAGCTGCTAATGGACCATTAGTAGCTGAGAACGGGTTGTTTGAGGTAGCAGCCTATGTGGTGTGTGGAGGTTGGGATAAAGATTTTTGAATTCAATATTGAGTCCTGAGGGCTACTGGGTCCCTCAGCAGAAACTTAGATTCTGAATCATTTTCTCTGGTCCCCATTAGCAGCTATTGATTCTCCCAGGCTGACCTTTACCCATTCTGTTGACTGCCTGATCACTGTTCTCTCTCTCTCTCATTGAGATATCTTGAGCTCTACAATTATGGTCTCACTGGATGAGCCCTCCAAGGTGTACTCCCTCAGTACAGCTGTGATATTCTTCATAACCAGTCATGCAACTCTCCCACCTCTTTTACATCCATCTTTATCTCGCTAAAACATCTAGATCTCAGAACATTAAGCTGCCAGTCTAGTCTGTAAATAGTTACAACATCGTAATTATATTTACTAATCCAATCTCTTACGTTCATCTGCCTTACCTGTCATTCTCCTCGCATTAAAACAAAAAAATACACTTCAGACCACCAGTCCCAACGTGTTTAGTAAACACTCCCTTTCTGTACTTCCTCTTAGTCTTATTGGTCTCAGTATCTTACTCCTCCTCAGTCATTTCATTTGCTGACCTACTGCTCTGATGTGTCTCAGGCATCCAAAAGCATACCAAAGCTGGACAGGTACAATAAAAATAATTGAAAGGGTTTGTGGAATGATTACCTTCATCACAAACTGGTTGGGATATTAAAGGGTGGAGGTTATGATACAAATATGCAAAGTTCCCATAAACCACCTTGTATTAGTACATCTCAGGAAAGATATTTTGGACTTGGAGAATAGGCAGTGCACATGCTCCTAAACTATAATGGACCAAAAATGGCTAAATCACAAGGACAGGTTCCACAGACATGGCTTGAATGCTTTTGGATATAGGGGGATTAAAAGGTGATCAAATTGAGGCATTAAAATTCAGAAGAAAGAGAAACTACTTCCACTGGTATAGTAGAGTCCACAACAAGGGAGCATACCCTTAAAATTAGTGTGAGGGATTATATAAGAAAGTGCTAATTTTGAGAACAAGAACCTTCTGTAAGTGAAGCTTGCTGTCACATTTTTGTTCATTCATGGGATATCAATGTCAGTGACATTAAAGTACAACCACATTAATGTGGGTCTGGAGTCATATATAGAATACAGCAGGTAAGGATGGCAGATTTCCCTCCCTAGAGGACATTAGAGAACGAGATGAGTTTTTACAACAATCAACAGTGTTAGACAGTCACCATTTGGCTAACTTTACTGCAGATTTTTTGTTTACTGAATTCAAATTTCAACATCCATCATGGTGGGATTCAAACCCTAGACTCCAAAACATTAGCCTGGTGTTCTAGGTTACGAGACCAGTGACATTACCATGATGTCATTGCCTCCTTTTATTTGTTGATGAATTAACAAGTTTACTCATAATTCTTTTCAATAAATTTCAACCAGGAATTTTGATTCTGAGTAACCAAAGGTAAGGTTTTAGATAAAGTAAACATTTTGCAAGGTTTACATATATCCATAGATATTTTGCACTTTTAATGTCATCATCTAATAGCATCAATCTTACCCAAAAGCACAAACATGCACATGAGTTTGATATAATCATAGGAGTGGTGACTTAGGCAGGTCTAACAGCCTCAACATGAGCAATGCACACAATTTTCCATTAGCAGGTTCTACGAATGGGCCATACCAGTGCATGCACAAGACAGGGAGTGCTTCACACCCGATGACTAGGTTTTTACCTGCAATAGAGAGGGAGCAGTGCTCCCAAAAGCCCAGTCTCTGCCTCACCTCGACGATATATTCCTCGCAAGTTTTTGTGCACACCCCAGCCATTCCAAACCATATTCCCAGCACCTTTTGGTAAACTGTCTTGACGGTGAAGGGGATAAAGGATTGGTCAGCCCAATTCCCAAAGAAACATGGCCTCACTCTTTCCCCAATCTACCTTGGCTCCCGAGGCCAGTTCGAACTAATGCTCATGAATCTGCGCACTGATAGCGGATCCGAGCAGAAAATGGTGACATCATCCATGTTCAGGGTGGCTTTGACCTGCAGGCCTCCACTGCCTGTAATAGTCACACCTCTCAGGCTCGCATTCTTCCTGATGGACTCAGCAAAGGGCTCTATACAACACACAAACAAGGGAGAAGAGTGTGGGCAGTCCTGCCTGACACCGGATCTGATCTGGAAACTTTCTGATTCTCACCCATTAATTGAGACTGCACTAATGATGTTGGTGTATAGCACTCGAGTCCAATTACAGATTCCCTCCCCAAATCCCATTTTGGACAGCA